GATGATATGTATATTGATTTATGTATTGAATATTTTTAGTACAATGGTTCAGGAGCTCCTTATAAAGGAGAAAGTTTACAAACATGCACCAAAAGCAACCGAAAGCAAAAGACATCATGATCAGTTATGACACACTTTACAGCTAATAACAACATAGAATACACTAACAATATAATGCACTAACAGCCCCCCTCAAACTCAAGGAGGATAGGCACAAACCAACTTGAGTTTGAGAAGAGTAACAAAAATAGAAATAATACTGACAAATAAAATAGGATAGGAGACACTGTATGGTCGTGTAGACCGTTGTAGAAGACTGTATGTTATGGCAGACAATTTATGGGTCATGTCGGACCGTGTGTAGAGACAGTTTACGGGTCATGTGGACCGTTGTAGCAGACACTGTGTGTCGTGTCAGACAGATGTAGAAGAAGTTTATGGGTCATGTCGGACACGATGTAGAAGACAGTTTACGGGGTCATGTTGGACCGTTGTAAAAGCTGACGGAATCAATGTCGGGACAGTTTACGGGGTCATGCCGGACCCGTTGTAGCAGGACAGTTTACGGGGTCATGTCGGACCACAATACAATTTATTCTCTCCTTCTCTCTCTATCAATTTATCTTACAGGTTGCATATGGGTGTTCACCATAAAGTACCTCGCTAATGGCTCAGTTGACCATTACAAAGCTCGCTTAGTGGCCAAAGGTTTCACACAAATTCCTGGAAAGGATTTTAGTGCCACTTTTGCCCCTGTCACCAAGCTTACTTTTGTACGTCTCTATATCTCCCTTGTAGTATCTCATTCTTGGCCTCTTCATCAGTTTGATGTCAATAATGTATTTCTCCATGGGGATCTTCTTGAGACGATTGACATGGCTCCTCCACCTGATTTTCAGGTTGAAGGGGAGTATTCAGAAAAAGTGTACCGGTTACACAAATCCTTGTATGGTCTGAAATAGTCTCCATGAGCGTGATTTAGTCGCTTCAGTTCTGTTATTATATCTATGGGCTTTGTTCAGTGACACTCCGATCACACTTGTTTCATTCGTCGGAATTCTGCAAGTCAGTATATAATCTTGTTGGTTTGTGTGGATGATATTATTTTCACAAGTGATGACTCCGTCGACATTGGTCAAGTAAAGAAGGACTTGGGCCAAAATTTTGATAAAAAGGATCTAGGATGTCTCAAATATTTTCTAAGAATTGAAGTGGCTCGCTCCAGGGAGGGGATCTCATTGTCTCAAAGAAAATACACCCTTGACTTGCTTCAGGATACTAGTATGTTAGGGTGTAAACTTGCTTCTACTCTTATGAATCCTAATGTCAAACTCACATCAGAGTTTGGTAAGTTGCTAGATGACCCAGGCATGTATCAGCGTCTCGTTGGACGCCTCTTTGATCAACACTAGACCTGACTTGACATTTGTGATTAGTGTTGTGAGTCAGTTCATGCATGTACCTCATAAAGAGCACCTTGACGTGGTTCATCATATTTTGAGGTATTTGAAGATTTTTTCTGGCTTGGGGTTGTTCTTTACCGTTGGTCTCCAATCTGGGCTCTCCTGTTTCACTAATGTCGACTATGCAGGATCTAGGACTGAGCGTTCCACTTCTGCCTTTTGCACTTTCTATGGCGATCATCTTATCTCATGGAAAAGTAAAAAGCATGCAGTTGTTTCTGGGTCTTCTGCAGACTGAGTATCGAACTATGGCACATTGAACATATAAGATTCTTTGGATTCGCTCTATTCTGGCAGAGTTGGGTTTTAAGGAGACTGTTTCTTCCTCTTTATTTTGTGATAACAAATCTGCCATTATATTATCCTATGATTTTGTGCTTTATGAGTGTACCAAGCATATCGAAGTTGACATACATTTCATTCAAGAAAAGGTTCGGATTGACATTATACGTCCATCCTTTGTCTCTTCTTCTCAGCAGTTGGTAGATATGTTCACAAAATCTGTAAGACCAACTTTGTTCTAGTCTTCCATTAACAAGCTGCATTTATTGAATATCTTCACGCCAACTTAAGGAGGAGTGTTGAATATATGAATCAACCTATTTTGTTTAAATATGGAAATTAGAATATGAATTATTTTAATTGTAGGAATCTCACCTTGTGTATATTATTTCCTAAATTGTATCATGATATATTATATATACATGACCTCTACCTCATTAATTGGTAAGCAAAATAATTCTTTTCATTCTTTTAGTAACACAGTTGTCATAGATTATCATAGATCACTCGTCTATTAGAACATGCAAAGCAAATGAAATGCACATGACAATAATTTCAACCACGCATGACAGCTTATTGAGGTTAATTTGAAAAGCTTTATAATACCCCTTGCAGTGAAAAATGTAGGCTAATTAAAAAGTTTTGGAAAGTAAAATGGATATTTTACCCTTGATGCACTATCTCGTCTTTGTTTGTAGAGTAACCAGCAAGACAAGATAAATCACAGTCCCAGTGAATTTCATCTAGAAAAATCAACCAGCCTACCTCAGTTTATACTCAAGTGGAATCTATGAAGCACGGACACCTCTCCGGAGGGGACGTACAGGTGTCTGACACATGTCAAACACAGACACACTTCGGACACGTGTTAGACACTTTGTAGAGAGTCGGACACGCTGGGGACTAGTTAGGGACACGCTAAGGACACGTTGAGGGCCATTTTTTTTAAGAAAATAATTTTTTTTTTATTTTTTTTACTAAAATAACATATCTAAGGTTGATAAATTTAATAAAATTAAATATTTGATATAAAATAAATATTAAATATTTAAAAATATATAACAAATATATAAAATTATATATTTTGTATGTATTTCCAACATGTTGTGTCGCTTGCATTTATTAAAATTTCACATGTTTGTATCGTGTCACATGTCTGTATCCGTACTTCTAGGAGTGGAGTAAACTAACTTGTCTCTACTAGTGAACCGCAGTATGCGAATAGATAGATTAAGCCATAATTTCAGGCCATATCCATGTTCAGCCCGAATATGAATGTCTTTCACTTCACATAACCTAAAGAATTAGACCACAACCCAACCCCACCTTATTTCGTGCCATTTGACGCACCACAGACTAACACGAATTCGCCATTATTGCTGGCCTCACACCAACTTTAGAGAATTAAATGTCTTGAAAAATACTTATAATACAGCTGAATTAATCAATTTTCAATCACATTTCCAAATTACAACTCTAAAAACCCAACGAAGCCAAAAAAAATTTCTAAATTCATAATATTCCAAAATCATGATTTAATTCTTTCATCCACCGGTTATACTGCCTTTCCTTCAAAATTCAAATATTCAACATACATACATAACCGTAAATGCATTAGACTAATGAATCAGAGAAAGGAAAAAAAAAAAAAACGAAATTGTGAAGGAGATAAAGTGCTTTTTTTGAGAAAGCATTTACCTCGTTGGATTGAGCAGAGCCAGCGTCGTTGGTGACGCACCAAATCCTAAATCTCTTAGCCCCATAAATCTACACAACAACAAAAAGATTCGCGTTTCAAACAAAAATCCAACACATTCGTATGTACAAATAGATATATATATATACATATAGAGAGAGAGAGAGAGAGGGAGAGAGAGAGAGAGATAGTCACTGAGAAGGGCTGAGTAATGTGAAGAGAGGTAGTGATAGAGTTAGTCCAAGCGAAAGAGGTAGCACCACAGAGTTCCATATTGGAAGTGCTTTGAAGGTCTATCTCTCCCTCTCTCTCTCCCCGAGCGAAGTGAAGATTATGACTGCCTCGTCAGCCAGTCATTTGTTACCTGTTGGTTTGTTATAAAAGTCTGCCTCCTCGTGTTCCATTGCTAGCCACACCACCCATGGTCTCCTTTAAAATTAGGTAAATTACGCTTTATTTTTTATGTTTGATATTTTTTTAAGGGAAAATCGGTTTAAGGTCCCTATCCAACTTTTAGTAAGGATTAGGTCCACAATGGTTCTTTGCTAGGCCCTAATGTCCCTCAATGTTGTTTAGCAGTGTAAAATAAAATACCTCTTACCCTTGTTTATAATATACGTGTGTTTTTCAATTTAGCAGCTAAAAATCATATGTAATATTTTGTGGGAGATTACGTGAGGATGAATTTGACGATTTCAGATTTTTTGGAGATTTCTAGGGTTTGTAGGTGCTTGAAATCCTGTTCGTTGTTTGTAGGATGTTGAAATCCTGTACGAGTTGAAATCGATGTTTCTTGTTGTAGGTCGCCTTGATTGATCGTGTAGCGCGCTCTCTCGACAATCTGGTTCATTGTGTTTGATTTTTGATTTTCATGTTGGAAGCTGTGAAATTAGATTAAGTTTTCCAATTTTGATTTGATTTTTCGTGTAGAGTTGTGAATTAGGTTTTTGTTTTGTTTTGATCAATGTGAGGAGGACGAACTTCTAGTGTTTTTTCTTTTTTGATTTTTTGAAAGAATTAATTTATTTTTTTCATTAACTATTATTGATGAATTTTCGATTGAGTTGATTTTTGATTTTTGGAGTTGCTTTTCAATTCTCTGTCAACATGGTTATGAAGTCCGTTTTTGGTTGCTCCTGTTTTCTGCGTTTTTGTGCTCTGTTTTTTGTTTCACTTTGCATTTTGTGTAGTGCAGAGAAAATTGGCAGGTTTGTACTATAATTGAACTTCAAATCACAGAAGGAAAAATTTGATAAACTTGTACTGAGGTGAAAATCACACAGAAGAAAAATTGTAGTAGGGCAGAGAAAAATTATCACAGACGTAGCAATTAGAGCAGCAAAATGTTTTGTTTTTTTTTTAAATTTTTTTGAATTAATGTTTTGTGGAACATAACAGATTTCTCTGTTGATTTTTTTATGTGCTTGTGTTTAATATATTTTTGTCTCTTGATTGTTTAATGTGTTTTTTTTTTTGTTATTATATGAAAGTGAATATAAAGTTCACAAATTTCTCATGGGACTTTTCTTTGTTAGCGTCCAGAGAAATTCATATGATTGTGATTACAGACATTGTAAGTAAGTTATTAACTCAAATTTCTTCTGCGACTGTATATGTTGGTGTTTTATATGTTTTGCACTTTTCAAAGTGTTTCTGATATGTTTTCTTTTTGCACTTTTCATTTTTTTTTTTTTTTGCATATTCATGGTTTCTGGACTTTTCTTGTGTAGATAGAAGAAAATCATATGGTTTGTTTATTATAATCCAAATGAAAATGACAGAGAAGATTGTTAAGCTTGTAGTTGAGTGAAATCACCCTGAAGTTGCTTGCGTTGTCTTAGATCCTTGATGCTTATTGGTTCTCCAAGGTAGCACAGAAGAGTGAGAATTACAGAAAAAATACCCTTGACAGAAGGAATTACCTTGTAATCCAGAGCAAATTAAAGGTTAGCGCAATGATTACACAACAGAGGAAATTACAAGGTAGCAACATAAACATGACAGAGAAAAATTACACGACAGAGAAAATTTTGAGGGAAATTGGTGCATTTGAACAAATAAATATGCCATGAGCAAAAAATTAGACACAAGACATATAAAACATAAGTTCACAAATTTCTCTGGAGCTTTTCTTTGTAGTCCAGGAAGAAAACATCATATGATTGTATTTACAAATTTGATAAGTATTACAAAAATTTCTCTGGACTTATATGTTGTGTTTTTTATATTTTGCCACTTTTCAAAGTTTTCCTGTTATGTTTCTTTGCAACTTTTCATTTTCTTTTTTTTTGCACTAATTCATGTTTCTGGATTTTTCTTTGTCAGTATTAGAGAAAAATCATAGGTTTGTTATTATAAATCCAATGACAAATGACAGTAGAAAATGTCTCAAGCTTGTGTTGAGTTGAAATCACCCTTGAAGTTGTGCTTGATTTGATGGCTTATTGGTTCTTCAAGGTAGCAGACAGAGAAATACCAGAGAAAAATTACCTTTGACAGGAGAAAGATTAACCTTGTAATCCAGAGAAAATACAAGGCTACGCATTGAACAAATATATATGCCATAGGAAAATTTAGACACAAGACAATAAACATAAATGGCCAGAGAAAATTATAAATGCTGCCCAAAGAAAATTAGGACACCACCAAGGTAAGAAAAGTAATTTTAGGCACAGAAGAAAATTATTAAATGCCAGAGAAAATTAGCCACACCAATAGAGTAGAGCAAGGCAGAGAAATTTTACAGAAAAAACAAGAAACACAAGAAGCTTTCAATTAAGAAGCCCCAATGTACAGAAAGCAGTTCCAATTTTGACAGTTTGGAAGGAAAGCAAGCCCATCATCAGTTGGAAGCAAGAAAATTCTGACTTCGCAGAATTTCTCTGGATTCACCCAGAGAAATTTCAAATTTCTCTGTCCAGAATTTCGTCGCTTGGAACGATCAAAACTTTGATTTTATCAATTTGTCATTTGGTTTTGCTGCTGCCTGATCAAGTCACAATTTCCTGCACAAACAAATTAATAGTTACATTCTATGAGTTTGTGATAGATTTTCTTTTAAACTTAATGGGTATGGATTCTCTGGGTTGAATCCAGAGAAAATTTCAGAATTTCTCTGGGTTGAATCCAGAGAAAATTTCATAATTTCTCTGGACTTACTTTAAGCCTTCCTCTCACTGCTGCCTAATTCCTCAAGCTCTTTCCATATTCTTCAAGTAGGGGTCCAAAATATTGCTTTTCCCAGAAAAAACTCCAATTCTACTAACCCAGAAAAATCAAAAAGACGGTTATAGTTCAAACACTCAAGAAATTTTGAACCTGAAAATGTTATATTCAACACCTGGTATATACTATATATATATAGTGTGCTGACATTGATTATATATATACTGTATGTTATCATATATATATATATAGTGTTTGCAACCATAGATAAGATAGACAAGAGTGACCGTTTGATATATTGGTTCAAATGGTTCTTAATGATTTAATTATCATATATATTATAGTCAAGACAGTAAGCCAACAAATTGTATAGTATATATATATAATATATGTATGGTATCATATATATATACATCGTTATTAAATCTTTTTTGAAAAGGAAAAAATAATTAAATGCATTAATGTCGAAGAAGATCTGCGAGTCCGAGAATCGAAGCTCTGCATCATGACTTGAGACCATAGCTCGGTAAAGCTCATCTCTGTTGATCTTGTCAAAACATTCAAACTCATTGAAGATGAAAACAGACGTAGGTATTTTGTTCCAAGAAATTGATTAAAATGCGGTGGTATTTTGGTTAGGGACCCCCCATGAGGCAGTATTACATTTTTAATGTCCTTTATGCAGAAAAATTGTTATTATTTAGGGAGCTTAAAAAAAAACCCCTTTTTTTAAAGGTCATTTGATAAATTCTTTTTTTATGCGTTTTTGTTTTATTTAAGTTCATATTTTTTTGAGTATTTTATTAGAGTTTTTGTTAATGTATTATGAACTAAATTATTTTTCTAATTTTTTGACATATTTTTATTTTAAAACTAAATTCTCTCTCTCATTTCGAAACAGACAAATCTTTTCTTTTTTTCTAAAGAGAAAATCTCTACCGCAGTCCATGTATAAAATCTCAAATTATAAATTTGAACATTTTATAATTGATAAAATTTTAAAAATAAACGCAACAAAACAATCTGAATGAAGATCATAAATTGTATGTGAATGTTTACAAACTAACTTTTGAAAAACAAAGCAACAAACTGAAATACAATGTGAATGTTCAAAATAAGCAAGTAAACATACAATTAATCTTCCGAAAAATATAAATTCATACCCAAAAGTAATAATGTGAATGTTCACGATTTATAATAACATATTAACTTAGTTTTTAAAAAATAAACTCATACCAATGTAAACATTTACCACTGCAACATGAAAAATATTTAAAAATAAAATTAAAAAAAATGAAAAGTTGCTATTTAATTGTTCAATAGTAATCAAAAATAATTGTTCAACTAATAATTCATAGTAAACAAAAACAACAAACATACAATTAAACTTTTCAAAAAATAAAACTTCATACCAAATTATTAATGTAATGTTCACAATTACAATAATAGTACAATTTAGTTTTTAAAAAAAAATGAAACTCGATACTAAAAATTGAACATTCACACCTGTATGTGAAACATAAAATAAAATTGGAAAAAAAGTAAAATCGACTATTTTGATTGTTCAATGGTAAAAAAATGATTATTCAACCAACAAGGCATAAGCTTAAAAAATTAACAAAATGCAACTAACTTTCAAAAAAACTTACAAAAAAAAAATCATACCAAAATAACAATTTGAATGTTCACAATTTACAATTAATATACAACTAACATTAGAAAAACTAAAATTCATACCAATGTGAACATTCACACTACAACATTTGAAATAAAATTGAAAGAAAAAAAAATATTTTTCAATGTTTAACCCTTGTTTAATTGGTACACTACAACATTTTTTCTTAGTTGTTGCATTTGAAAGTACCACAAAACTTATTCTTCTAAAATGACATTTTTTGGTCTTGTGCGCATTTTGAACAAGTGCCACTTCTATCGGTGCCACGGTAGATACTTGCAAGTGCACGTGCACCATCATGCGCTGAAAACTTTCAATTGACATTTAATATCATGATAGATATTATTTTGCGCACTATTCAAGCGCCATGAAAAAAAGAGTAGTGACACTTGTTATAAGTATCATTACACCATCAAGACTTAAAACCTTTCACGTGACACTTTTAATGTCATGGTAGGCACTATTCGTTGACACTATTCAAGTGCCATTCATGGACGATAATTCGTTGTAGAACAATTCTGATCCGCTC